TAGAATAGAATAGAATAGAATAGAATAGAATAGAATAGAATAGAATAGAATAGAATAGAATAGACAGATTAAGGGTCTTCAAACCTGGCAAGTTTAAGACTTGTGGACTTCAACTCCCAGAATTCCTGAGCTAATGTGACTGGAGGAGGAATTCTGGGAATTGAAGTCCACAAGTCTTAAACTTGCCAAATTTGAAGACCCTGCCCTACACCATTTCTGACAAATGACAATCCAGTCTCTTCTTGAAAGCTTCCAGAGATGAAGCTCCCACAACTTCTGTAGGCAACTTCTGTTCTGTTGGTTGATTATTCTCAATTCTACAAGGATGTTTAGATGACTGGGGGAAAAAATATATACAAACCTTCTGAATATCTGGAAAAAAAACTAATATTCTTCATGTGAAGACTTGCGAACTGAATGTGTAAATGAAGATTCTATCATCCAGGCCAACAGTTATCTAAAAAAGGTTAAACCATGGCAACTGGAGCAAAGATTATTCCAAACTGCACAAAATGCTATCCTCTAAACAGCCCTGCAGAACATCAAGCTTCAGGCCAGACTCTGCCCCAGCCTAATGGATAGATTTGCTCAGCCATTTGTACAAAACCTGCCAGGTGAAATGGATGTGTGGGAATTCAGCACTACTAAGGAGAGCCAGCGCTACATCTACCAAGCATCAACCCTATTGACCACTGGAGAATTTTAATAAAAAGGGGGAAAACGTTGGAGTCCTGATACTGAACTGGACGCTAAGAGGTCTTAAGAGGGGAATGGCAGGGTTTGTGTTGTTCTAGTTTGCAAGAAAAATGAGTTGGCAACTTTTCTCCCTTTTTACACACATACGCACGCACACACACACGCACACACACACAAGCATTCATTTACAGAAGTACATCTGGCTTCAGTGCAGACACAGCCTCCGTGGTTGAAAGCATGGCACACAATAGTTCTAGCAGAACTCAGGATTTGCCACCTCCGGATAGGACAAGGGAGGAGAGTTTAACAGCTGCAAGGGATCATTGGCTGTTCTCTTATCTGAGCAGAAGAAATTCATCATTGGGCCAACCCAGGAAATTGCTGTCCAAATGTTGTGTACAAGTCCTCTCCCCACTGCCCTACCACATTCTGTTTCCCGCCCCCTGGTTTCCTTCTGTAAATTATCAGCCACAAGGAAACCTTTATGATGGTGCACGTAGATAATCACAGAAGGGTCAGCCGGTTTTTGAATGTTTCCAAACTACTTCCTTCAACATTAAGCAAAATAGAAGGGCGGGTTAGAGAAAGAGGAGAGAAATATAACTTTGCCCTTGAGAAAGAATGCAATAATTAGCATTCAGTTGTGGATTCAGTGCGGATTCTGGGATTTGTCATGTAGTTCTAGGCTTTTCTAAACTTCTACCAGTTTAGAAAAAAAAAATTATTCAGTGGTGCTCGGTCACAGCAAATGATGGGATTATAATTGTAAGTAAATTTCTACTTGCTAGGTACAATGCAGATTTTCAGTTTGGCTTAAGCTGATTGGGACAAAGAGATACAAGAAAGTAAAGTTCAGATCCTCATTTTATTGAAAAAAAATGCCATCAAACTGGCAATGCTCAGCCTTCTCTTTTAGTCTAGTAATTACTGCTATGGTAGCACAATCTCTACCCAAATTTACTTCCTTTCCTTTCCTTTCCTTTCCTTTCCTTTCCTTTCCTTTCCTTTCCTTTCCTTTCTTTTCTTTTCCTTTCCCTTTCTTTCTTTCTTTCTTTCTTTCTTTCTTTCTTTCTTTCTTTCTT